CTAGGGCAGCTCGAAAAACATCCAGGTCCAGTGAGCGTGTGGATTCCGAGCGGATGGTGACCTGAAGGAAGGGGCGGCCAGGCCCTCTCTCTGCAGCGTGTGTGTGGCTGCACCCTCAGTGTTAAAGGAACAACAACCAAAACCAAAAATAAGCAAACAAAAACTAACTTAAAAAAAAACATAAAACAAACACCAAAACAAAAGATCAGAACACTTGACAATTCTGTCATCCGAGCGGCAACTGGAAGTTGCTATTCACCAAGTTTAAAGCGGGGGCCAGTGGGTAGTGGGGTGGGTAAGGTGCTGGACTCCTACATGGCCAACCATGGTTTGAGTCCCAGACTCAGTGCTTGAAATCACACCAGGCGTGTGTGCACATGGGCCCAAGAGTCCAGGAGGAGAGTGGAGGTGAAGGGATTGTGGCGTGCTGTTCCACCTAAGGGACTTCTCGCTTGCCCTCTCCCAGTCTCTGTGTTCAGACGCCTTGTGACAAACACGCACCCTATGACAAACACTCAAAACAAGTGAGCAAGGCCGGGGCAGCGAGGCGGCGCGCCCCGTGCTGAGCAGCGTCTGCGAGGTAAGCGCGCGTTCCCGTTGACGCGTGAGACATTTCACCAACTTGGCACGGTGTCTTTAAAGCTCGTGTTGTTAGTTCTTTACAAACTAAAAGACACATCAAGAAAAGAACCACTACAGCCAATCAGTGCGTGTTCACCAGTGAAAGGACTGTGTCACGTAAAGAGAAGGGCCTTGGCCGTGGCTCCAGACGCCACCTACCCCAGGGCTGGCACTGCCGGCGCCAACACCCGGTTTTCACTCTCTGCAACTTGTGCAGAAAGCCTGGTTAGGCCGACTCCGGCATTTTTCTAGACCATGAGATGGTCGAGAAGGGTCAGGGATTAGCCTGAACTGGCTAGACGCTGGGTGGGATTCGGGACGATGGCGCCAGGCGGGGAAGGAGTGCTCCTGGGAGGCGGAGGCAGAGCTGCCCGGCAGCTGCCCGGCTCCCCGGGGCCCAGGTCGTCACCGCAGTGCGGACGGAGACATGCAGACAGCTGAGTCGGAAAGATGGAGGAGTTTGCTAACTTGAGCTTCTGGCTTCTGGAAGCCCAGAGGCCTTCAAGGCGAGGAGGGCAGGGCTGGGTGGAGGGGTCCGCCTGCCCCGTCGTCTCTCTGGGTCCGGTCTCAGACCTCGTCCCCGGAGCACAGTCACGGTGGCCCTGCAGTCATGATGTGCCACACCCGACCCCTCCACCCCATAACCAGGTCGTGCTTGCCTCATGACCCGTCACAAGGGCTGTGCGAGAACTTGGGGGGACAAGCTCAAACACTGGCTGCACTGTGGCAGGGTCACCCCTCGGAGCCGAAGGGCATGTTCTCTCTCGGGGCCTCAGGGTGTGGCCATACTCGGGGTCGCTAGGACATGCCCTAATGCCACACAGTTGGTGTCCTTGTAAGAAGAGGAGGTGACACGCCCAGCGGGTAGGTTGCATAGTGGTTAAGTGCTGGACTCCCACATGGCCAACTGTGGTTCAAGTCCTGGACCTGGTTGTTTAAAATCATGCTGGGCACATGCATGTATGCCACAGATCCCAGGAGGAGAATGGAGGGGGAGGGTTGTGGTGGGGACAAGCCCCTCTCCCTGGAGTGATTTCTCACTTTCCCTCTCCTGTCTCTCTGGTCAGTGCACACACCCTACGGCAAAAAAAAAAAAAAAAAAAAAAAAGCATGCGGCAAACCACGTGAGGATGCGGGTCTGTCCTGATACCCCAGTCCTCACTCCGTTACAGCCGGGAGCAGCCTACCATGCAGGGGAGCCCCAGAAAGCCTGATGGACACCCCGCAGTGAGGGGACAGAGCTGGGAGGGGTGGGCCTGCATCGCGTGGGAGAGCCGGGGAGGCCCGCTCTAGGAGCCCCTTCAGGGATCCACAGGAGCATTGATAGGGCGCGGAGGCCACGGTGACCACAGGCGGAGTGCACAACCTCCCTGCAGAGCAGCGCACTGGGGAGCTCGGAGCTCAGAACGGCATCGGCCCGCGGTAGCAGGCCAGGCAGAAGCAGGAAGTGGGGGTGATCAGCTGAGGAGATAATGGCTGAAAGGTGTCCAAATGTTATGAACGCCACAGACCGACAGGTCCAAGAACGCTAACCAGCCCCGTGAACAGGAAACGCGAAGTCGACACCAGCGTCGGCCAGGGTGGGATTGTGCAGGGGGTGGCGAGGGGACCACGGAGAGTCCGCCCATGCAGAGTGATGGCGGGAGACTCCGGCAGGCAGGACAGGGCCAAGCCGCCAGTCCGGCATTCTTTACCCGGTAACAGTGCCTCTTAGCGTGGAAGGCGAAGCCAGACGTCGTTAGATACCTCCAAGATAAAAGAACTGCTCATCAGCAGGTGCGTATGAAAGTGAGGCTCGACAGCCTGGTGGTTATGGCAGCTGGACCCCCATGGCCAACCGTGTGGGGAAAACCCCGGCCGCAGTGGGACTTGCAGGTGCGTGTGCACGTCCACACTCCCAACGGGGTGGAGGGTGGAGAGGGAC